GTTTGAATAACAGAACACGCGAACACAGATTTCGTTGAAAAAAAAAAAAAAAAAAGGTGCGATCATGATTAATGTGATAAATCCACATCACACCGTGACCAACACCCAGAGAAAATTGACAAAGTCATGAAGGTACTGATTCCCTCTTTCGCTGCAGCTTATTCATACAGGATTCTCATGCTGCGTCACTGACATTTTGCTGACCAAAGCCATATGTTGGCCTTTTTTTCCCTTTCAATAAAACCCCATGGTTTTAAGCACGTGTGTCAATTTTTACCTCTTTACCTACATTATTCCGTGAATTATCGAATTTTTAAATGGGACTTTTGGGTCATTCTGCATGTACTAAGCCAGCCATGCGAATTCTGAATAAATTCTTAAAAAATTTATATTTATAAATAATTAATTGTTAATTATCCACTAAGGAAGGTAGCCCTCGTATGCTTTCCCATATTGAAATGGCCTGACCGATCTTTTTCACTTTTAGAATGAACATGCTTTACATACTTTAACCTATCATTGTTAAGTTAAATTGTGGAAGTCTGATTTTTTTTCTCAACAGAAAGTTACGTCTTAGATGTTTTCAACGCATTCAGCATTATAATAGAATACGCAAATTCTTAATGAACGAGTTGAACAAAAATCACATAAGTCTAAATTATTTTGTGAGTTCTTCAGAATGCTTTAAATAGGTGGGTAGTTATCAAATAAATTAAACCTTTTTGAATATTGCACATGTTTATCAAACTTAGTAATAAACTTGTAAAGGCATTAGGTTTATTTTGGAAGCTGGAGAGATGAAAAATGATCAGTGCCCTTGCCGGAAATCGAACCACGGATCTCTCGAATACGCGTCGAGCGTGCTGCCCACTACACTACGAAGGCATGCTAAAAAGGCGGGACAAATACCTCATATACTCCCCCTTTTAAAGGGCGACTGGGGATTAGGGGATCCAATCGCCAAGTCCTGGTGATGGAGAATCATCATCCACCACCTTTTTTAGTTCGGGCGCCACTGCGTAGAGACATTAGGTTTCTTTGGAAGCAGGAGAGATTAAAAAATGAGCAATGCCCTCGCCGGGAATTGAACCACGGACTCTCAAATACGCGTCGAGCGTGCTGACCACTACACCACGAGAGCATGCTAAGAAGACGGGAGAAATACCTTATAAATGCATCATACGATGTAAAATACTGTTATTTATGTTGTATTGTTATGTGTAATATTTTATGCAGCCGATAGCATCTTAAGGAACATAAAAATGCCGAGCAATTTTGGCTTATGAGCGAACGGGAGAGAGGTAAGTGTTTTCGGAAGGGTAACTCTTCCACGGGGAGAAGGAGGTACAGCGAAAGAGTATCAGATTGGAACCCTTAAAGGGAAGTCGAATTGTTACCTGTCGAATGTGTGAGCGAAATATCACTGGGCGAAAAAGTATATACAAGAAGAGTGGTTGTTAGAGGGGAAGAGAGAACTATCAGAGTGAGATCTGATTATTAACCCGTCGATGAAGGAAAAAAATTGAGCGAAACGTTATTTGTGCGAAAAAGCATGGACACGTTCTTTGCAGCTAAGTAAACCATAGTGCAATAAACATATTGATTGTGAAAATATGTATCTTTCTTTTTCATCACTTCTTTCACGGACATCGTGCATATTGACCAAGATAAAATCTATATATAAAATAGGAAGACTATTAAAAAGAGTTTTTTTTTTTAAAAAAAAGGCATCAAATCTTTCTTATCATGAGCGAAATTCCAGAAACGAGATATTAAGTTATTTTGGAATAGAACTTTACAAACTCATAAACCAGCTCCGCTTTTCATTCCAAGCGTAGGATTTTAAATTCATACTTGCTAGAAAAAGGGAATTCATTACAAAGTGCAACATTTTTATTTTATTGTGGTATCTTGATAACTTTAAATTTCAGATTGTGACTGTAAACGTTCTGACGGCAAAGGCATTTTAAAATAAACATATTTCTTTTGCGCGATACCAATACCTATAAAAGCGCACGTGCCCTAGAAAAATATTGATTTTTAATATTCAAAAGATTGCACGCACCGAACTTTTAACAATTCTAGCTCTTTTTTTTTTGCACCTTTTTTCCCTATTGCTAGAGAATTCTACCGAAATCTTGCATTCAAAACGAAACGAAAGCATGGAACTGCAAAGTCAAAAGAGAAAGTAACAAAAAATTCCACCAAACGATAGCTGAAAATAATAAAAGGGATTTTTTTTTTTTTTTTTTTTTTCTTCTTCCCAAGGAGATATAAAATACGGTGGGTTACGACTTTCACATCCGAGAAAGGGGATTACAAATAATTTTCGCCCCTTTTTTCGCAAAGTAAACACTTTTCACGTGCTTTTATTTCATCGCGTTTCTGGCCCTATTGCGGCTGATACAAATCCCCGGTTTGTTCGAGAGAAAGGAAAGGGTTAGTATTGAAAACAATAGCTTTCAAAACAAAAAGGAAACGATATCAATAATAATGGCGAAAAGAAATCGCGATATATATATATATATATCCCACTTACATCGAGTTATGCCTAAGGTATTTCATCAAATCCTTTACTGAATGCTAAATCTCCGTCCCACAAAAATCCCTTTTGAGACTTTTAAAGGGAAGATTTCAGGAAAAAAGTGGGGTTAAACTGATTGAATATTTTTCTAAAGTGAGAAATATTTTATTTTCAAACATAAGCCTACAAATCACCGGCTCCTTAGCAATAAACCTATTCTTTATATGATTTTTTGAGTTACGTGTAAATTACTCGTAGGAATAGTTTTTAATGAATGAAGTAGAAAGCTTTTTATTTTTATTTCAGATAGAAAATAAATGTTATTTAAATATTTTCTGTTCATTGCTGTTTTTAACTTATAACTGTATTACAGGTGTTTAGACTGTCTAATTATAAAAATTATTTTGTCCGAATTAACCAGTAGTTTAAAGAAAACTCCTAGGGAAAGCGTCAACTGAAATTATTCTGCCCCAAGGGTACAAATGGAAACGCTTAGTTGGTTTAGTTTATTATGGCAAAGCATACTAGGGCTATCTGCGTGAGACATGCTTTCGTGGATGTCTTTTTAAGGGAAACTGGCTCGTATGCACGGTATAAATGGGGAAAATTATGAGAAACCTCCATGCAACCGACCCATTCGCTTGGATTCGAACCCAGATCAGAACTACCAGTATTCAGCAATTTTACCGCTCGGCCGCTAGTGAGAAGGGTGTTAGCTATAAAATCGAAAATAATCTAAATGATTTGATTAATTACAATTCATTAACGTCACTCATTTAATTTATGTTTAAAAAAAAGAATTAGAACTTTTGTTGTTGCTGTGACTTCTCTCGCTTATCTGAAATGAGCAAACCCACGAAATTCATCGTGGCAAGAAGACAAGATTGCGCCCTGTCATTGGCAAAAGCCTTGAGCACCATACAGGTACTTTTGACTTGCCGCATATTTTGATTGCCCCCATGCCGCACAGACACTTTACATTTATAAACCTTCATGCATTTTCTGCGATTCAAGTTTGGACTCTTCGGTACAGAGTCCTTTCCTCCCCCTTCTTATTAAGAGTATTTTTAATGAAATGCTTATAAATAAAAAAATTGTTTTCAAAAACACATTAAACTAAATGCCTGACAGATACGTAATATTTTCCATCTGCCAAATAAATTTGAATGCTGTTTTCAGCTGATTATAAATTAAGCTACGCGTCTGAAAGGAAACCTTAATATAAAGCATATATATATGCAACCTAAGCACATTTTAGTCTTGTTTCTAAAATAATCTATAAATTTCTACGCACTAATATTACATCTGCAAAACGGAAACATGTAAGCCAAAAGAGTTTGAAAGAATTTTTCGATCTGGAGCCAAAATATGTCTGAAAAATTCAACTTAAATATGATAATATCTGAGAGCTCAGATTTGTAAACCTGATTATCAGTGTGACATTCAGATAATATACAGATAATATTCAGATAATATTGTGGGATATAATACATCCCACAATTCATTGTACCTGCAAGACAGCGGAAAAGCTAGTCATTCCTGATTCTGTGTATCATAACATCCCATCAGTTTTCATTACTCAGATATCTTCAAAAATGAAATAAATATCGAGAGAAAAAGCTAAAAAAATGAGTCATAATCTATTATTATTATTAGTTCAAAGGGGCTTTGTCCCTGAAGGATTATTGCTTTCGTTTTGCGATTTTGCGTTGGTTCACTATAAATGTCCGTTTCACTTTTCAAACTGTTGCCACCCCATGTTATAGTCCTGCATTGTATTTGAAGAAATTAAATAATGAAAAATCTGCATAAATGTATGTATATGTCTCTCAATGTGATAAAACAGCGGTACATAGAGCCATCGAATTTTGAATGACGTAATCCTGCTGCGAATATGAGCATGTGGAAGCCCAAATTTGAAATCTGGAATTTGTTTTATTATTGATTTCATATTTTGTAAAACTTTAACGAATTTTTGATTAACAAATTCAAGGATTTCAAAGCGAGCCATGGCAGCGTTGTGCAGGAAAAACATTTTTATCTCCAGCGCGTGAGTCTCTGTATGGGAAATTCTAAAGATAGGCTTAATTTAAAATTATTTTTCGACATTGCTCTTGAACTGAATGTTATGGTTTAAGTGCGAAGAACGTGATATTTAATAAATAAATGTAACAGATAACATGTTAAAGAAACGCCCCTTTGGACGTAATTTAAAATCTGAAACCTTTCAGATTTTTATATGTTTTAGTTTTACTATATAAACTTATATATTAGCTTTACTTAAATTTGATATCTAGTAACACATGCGAAGTTAAAAATGGATTATATTTTAGACGAATAAAGAATGTTTATTTTGCCATTGACATTCCATTGAAGGTTAGATTCTTACAAAAACTTAACAATAAAAGTAAAAATTCCAATACTTCAAGTACTTAAAATGAATATAAAATACTAAAAGCCAACTTTCTTTTTTCAGATTAACCCCTGCAGAAAAATGAACCCGACTTCATGCCGTAACAGATAATAGGATATCAGTTGAGTTCAATACTTTGGCAACATAAATTTACATTCTTGAGTGAATAAATAATGGATCCAAGTTCGTATGGTGACGTCAACAAAAACACGCCTTCAGCATTTTATGGGGCTCTCTCTGGTTCAGTATGCTTTCCAATGCCTCTCATGTACAATCCCATGAACTCATACCCATTTATGTCAACGCCTTTCTTACCCATGCACCACCCCATGCTTTCTAGTCATGGATTGCAAGACTCTCACCTACTTTCCAGTAGCGATCTGCTTAGCAGCAGCCAATTGTCGAAGTCTGAAGATCTAAGTACCAGAGCTTTAGCCTATTTACAGAGTCGATACCAATCAATGGGAAAGTGCTTTCTTCCTCCATCTCGGAAGTCAATGAGCAAGTATTGCGTCACACCACCATCTCTGATGGACATTCAGAGCTCCAACGAGTGCACGAAACTCAGCTCTGGTGGAGGATATGCTTTGCAAAGTAGTGGAGATTCAAACGCGAATGGTATGACACCCTCACTGACCACAGTCGCATCGCCTAGTAGTGGAATTTATCCAGAAAAAGAATGCTACCTTTCGAGCCCTAGTACCGAAGTGGAAGAACCCGACTCATCAGGCAAGTGTTCTACAGATGTTGTTGAACAGAAAGGTGAGACTACATTTTTTTTTAACCACTTATCTAACGTAACATTTTTCTTCATGTAAAATGTCATTTCATGGATAAAAACTGAAGCAACATTCAGATGTGGAATTAAAAGTTGTACTAAAGTCTATATTAATATATAGATTTTGTTCATTCCGTAGTAATGTGAAAATCCATTTCAACTACACAGCTAGTTTTTTTGTACTTCCTTGTACGAAGTAAAAAGGAAGTATTGTAATCGCGAAAAGTTTCAGGCAGCATATTTCAACGAAAATATCTATTTTGACCGCTATCGAATGCAGTTTAACGATGTTTTTGCGTGATATCTGTACGTAAGGACAGAATAAAAGACTCTTTTCCTCCAAAAAAAGTTATAAAACTGATTTAAAATGAATTCTGAAGAGAATTTTTCGTGGCGTCTGTGGGTACCTACATATCTCGCATAACTCAAAAACGAGTAGCCTCAGAACGTTGAAATTTTGTATATAGGACTGCTATAACATGTAAATGTGCACCTCATATTTTGGTTGCAATCAGCCGCACCAAACGTATATAAATATATTTATATATATATCCACTCTGTTACTCAGCTCAGTGATCTCAGTTTTTTTACTCTTATATGTTGTTAAAATTGTACATTTTTTGCTTTAAAAATGATATGAATTATGTTGTTCTTATCTTCCCGGTTAAGGTTTTTATGCCTTTAGTTAATCTGTATGCAATATTTGTAGAATTATCAACAATTTTAAAGTTGTTTAAGTGCCGAGTTAAGCCTAATAATTTTTTTTTGATGGCGGCCATTGCTTGTTTACATTTGAAACAGCAGGATAGTGGATTTGTTGCCAATCTAGAGAAACTTAGCTTCGCAACAACAAAGATAACGCCTACATTTTTTATTGCGAATTAAATCATGCTTAATCCTTTCTGGAATTTTTTCGGGGAAATAAGTTTTTAAGATTTACTTCATAATTTTTAATACAGATATTTTGAGTTTTTATGTATTTTTTCCTTGTCGCGAAGTGAGAACTGAATTAATTGAACGAGAAATACTAAATCGTCTGTGGAAAACTGTTTCTTTTTTGTTTTGTTTGCTTATCTTCTTTTATACATCGTTCTAGCTTTATTATAGTATTTGAATAGAACATGTGGCAACGATTAGATAATTCTTTAAATGGTATAAGTTTTGTGCATTCTGAGTTATAATATGAACGAAATATAATACTGTTAAGTGAACCTAGCGCCAGAGTGTCGCTATGGTAAACAAATAGAGTGAATTTTAAAGAATGCATTTATTCTATTGTGGTTTATGCGCTGTCGGCGAAGTAGATTTAATTCAATCCAATATGTTTAAATGAAATGCAAGAAAAAATTCGTATAATTTAATATTCCGTACAAGGAAGTCATGTGGTGTCCACATCAGATTTTTTATCATAAGCATGCAATTTTGACAAAGTAATACATTGACTTCTTTGTACACTCTCTGAATTGTTGAACAAATTTCAATAGCACTTCTGTCGTAAGAAATCTTAAAATACTGAAACTTCACCCTAATAAAATTCATAGAACAAAATAGGAAAACTTTAAAAATAGAACTTTGCAAATAGTTACCAGATCTGATTAGAACTATTATGGAAACATCCGTAAATGGTTATAGGGTAATAATAGCTATGTTAACCTAAAAGACCATCTATTTCGTTGTATTGAAATGCCAACGTTTCATTTACTAATTATTTAGCATAATACATTCATTCATTATATTTTTGCTCTTATTTTTCTTGTTAGAAACTGCAATGGAAGTAGCGATAGAAGCCTTTCTCAAATTCAGACTCTTAATTATGAGCAATAGTAACTTTTGGAAGCAAATGTTATATGCTTTAAGGCAGATAAAACTTGACTTCTACTGTGTTATCTGAAATGAAACTGAAAAGAAGATATTCGGGAAGTAAAATAAATTTGTTTCACAACGCGCTAGTTGGGAAGTGTAAAAGAGTATTTTGGGGAAATTATGTCTCTCACAAGGATATATGATTTAAATCTTACAAAATATATATGTCGTACACATACATACACACACACACACACACAAAAAAAAAAAAAAAAAAAAAAAAAAAAAAAAAAAAAAAAAAATTAAAGAGAAAGTAGGGAAACCTAAATTGAAAAACAATAAAAATCAAATAAAACCGATTTTATATCGAATAACAATATATTTCATATATATTTTACTATAATCCCGCAATTTTGAGAACTACCTCGCAGTAAAGTAATTTTTGAGGGCGAAGTCATTTAGAATTTTTTGGATTCCCAGCTAACTACCATTTTTTGGCATGCATTTCATGACAATTTGTATTTTACAGATTACATACGTTTATAAACAAGGATGAATTGCTTATTTTTTTGGGTAGGGGAGCTTTATATATATATATATATATATATAAAACGTGTTGAACTTTTTGGAGCAGCAGCTCTTGGTAATTTTTAGGCGAGCTTACTACAGTTTTTTATATTTTACTTATTTTGCAGCATATTGCGCAAGATGTTTTCTAGACCAAAATTAGTTTTTCAAAATTGTAATTACTACCTTGCTTGATATATATATAAAGCTTTGTTTCCCGTAAATGATAGCACCTGCTTAAACTGTTAGCTACCAATCTCACTTAACCCTTTCCTAATGCTCTACTAATCTCAAGTTCATGCTGAAGTTCTCCCACACCAAGGCTACTTGTGAGACAGTAATTACAATTATGCTGCAGTTTTAAAGTTACTGATGGACTGTATTATAATTTAAATCAAATATGCTACTAATGATCTAAAGATACATCAAATACACTAATAATTATTTGTTTATAATTACACTAATAATTATTATCCAATGCACTACCAATGATACGAAAGAACTTAGCCATGTCGGCAACTCTCACTCGCAAGCTTGGTGTTTTCTAAGGTTAAAGATAAATTAAAGATCTTACATCTACCACAATAGAATTGCTTGCCAGGTCTCTTGGGTGACAAATACTTCGCGCTGATGTAATGTTAAGTAAGGCCCAAAAATTTTCAAAGAAGTTTCAACTGTCAATCAAGATCCACCGTCAGTCAAGATTTCATCAGAGGATACTCACCATTGTCTAAAATGACATTTATATGATTTCAATTTGAAAGAAAAAAAAAATCAAACATGTCTGATTTGGTTAGAATTCTAATCTATCTCTAGCATGATTATTACTCAGAAAAAACTTCCATTGATCAAAAAACAATCATCTATCACAGATGCAAACTATTAGTATATTATTTGTTACTTGCTGTCTATTGATGTAATTGCTATATTACAACACATATTGTTACGAATTTTGTATTTAGTTATTTATTTTTAGTAGAATTATAATGAAAATTGTTTTATTTTCCCATGCAATGCAGCACGAGACATATTTTAAGAGAAAGCTGCACCGCAAAAGCAAAAATACAAGAGCACGTGCATTTAACATTGAATAAAAGTTTATCTCTGTAATTGACTGTAGAATGAAAGAAATGTTAGCTGTAACCGTAATTTTTGCTTTCCAGAAATTGCTGGAACTGTCTCGCGCGTTTAATTTAAAAAGCTATAAAGGCCAGAGAAAGAACATCTCAGTTCAGTTGCTTAATTACTGTTACTGCGAGAGTTTACTTAGTTGTTAACCGTAGCGAATTCGCTGTGAGATCGGATCAGATTTCTCTGCATTTTGGATTGCATTCTATTTAACGTTTTAATAGTTTAAAATATAGCTACTGATTATATTGCGAGATATTGTGATATTGTACGAATATCTTTGAGGAAAAATACAGCATTTTATTATATTTCTTGTGATCAAATTAAATTTTATTAACTTTTTATCGGATCTTGTGCATTCTGCCTATTACGAACCCGTGCGCACGCAACAATGTATATAAGATATATATATAGATATGTCATAAACACATATATGTATAAAAATATTCTCTACTCGTATAAAGCTAATTTATAGTTAATTTAAATTTAATTCTTTCTTTTTCATGGAAATGAGCAAAAAATAAATCTGAATTTTAAAATTCAAGTTATGAGTAGCAAACCCCATCCAGAAAAGGAAGTAAACGTAAATTGTACTTTTTAAATATATGTGATACGTTGCAGTTACAGTACAGGAATATGAGGTATTACTTTCATATCAGTGAAATGAAGTCCTTAACATAGTCAGCATAAAATGAGTGGAGCCTGCTGCAACTTAAATTATATTGACCGTACCTTACCAGATGGCAGCACTAGCTATTAAATCAATACTATTGTTGGAATACTTTGGAAGAAATCTGCATTCCATATTTTTAATATTCTGCGAAGTTCGTAACGATTATCAATTATGACGTTATCATTTCAAATTATTTGCTGCAATCTCGTATATTTTAGTAACTCGACTGATAGAATTCGTCCACTTACGTTTCTTCCTTGATCATTCTTGAGAAAAATTTTAAAATATTTCGGTTATAATAAAATAAGCACTTACTTTACCTCTTTTTGTTTTAACACCCGAAGTTGTGTTACTATTTTCATAATGAAAAAATTAAATTCTGTCAAAGTAGATAGAGTTGCCAACCAGGGCCGTTCCTACTAAAGGTGCAGCGCGTAAAAGTATGCAGACGACCCAGATCAGTGGCGGCCGGACTAGTGATACCACGCTTAAACATTTTAAATTCATTTTAAGTACTTATGTACAATAAGTTATCTTTTTTTTTTAATTACCATTAAAAACTAACTTGAATAACACATCAGGAAATCTATAACCGAAGCTAGCTAATTTACAGTGAGATATAAATCTCATTAAAAAGATTCGGAGATGTGAGTTTCATTACATTTTATACGGACTTTTCATAAAAAAAAAAAGGTCTGTTACGAATTTTTGCACTAAACATCTTTTTGTTCTATGATGCATTCTTATATAAACAGCTTTTGTTCACAGTTGAAAATCAATAAGGTAAAAAACCTGATTGAGAAATGAGCATCT